TATATATATATGTAAAGAATGACTAGGAGGTGATTATGCGAGCCTCCAGCCACCCTCATGTGCCTATTTATTCGAGAATCGACCTCACTACAAGCAAACTGACCAAAGAGAGATTCGAATCCGTGTCTTGAGGGGACTTACGACCTTCAAAGAGATTGCTTTAAGAACAAGTCAAAGCTGGCGGCATATACATATACCACCTTATCTAAGCATGAAAATGTGGTTTTCATTTTTTAGATACTTGGAAAAAAAATATATATTTTAATGTGATATGAAATATTTGTTTGCTATAAAAAAAAGAGTTAGATATGTAAATATATAGGAATTGGATCATATGGATGTAAATTTATTTTTATGAATTTATTTTTAAGTTCCAAATCATTAAAATTTTATTCCATAATAGCCAATGAACCGTAGCTTCACAGCTAAAATATGCTTTTGGCAGTGATTCTTCTATAATGATTAAGGAGGAGATAGGAGACCCACCCCCAACCCCCCTGATTCAACTATTGTAGATGTTCCTTCGCACTTGAAGCAGCTGCATGTTCATATTATGAAACTTAGAATGAATTGAACGCATAAAAGTAGACATTTTTGTCATCTTGTTCTGCCCAAATTACAAAACTTCAATGAATTAGCCTTGTTTAACACATAAATAATTTACTAAACTTACAAATATGCAAATAGCAGATCATATAGAACTGTTGGTAATAGGTACATGTAAATATATTATAGAGGGGAAGCACTTTACAATAAATAAATTGCGGGTAAAACTCCAGATATTTCAAGTTCTGGAGAAACCAGCTGCAAATTGTTGTCTTTGTTTGTAATTGTCAATATTTTCTGGGCTAGGCTGCCCAGTCAGATCTTCATACTTCTTCTCTAAAGCCTGCCATAATATGATCAAGTTTGAAAATGACGAAAGGTAATAAATTTGTAAGAGATCTTGTTCAGTTCTTCAAGATAAAACAGATAGACTAAAAAGGTAACACGAATAGAAATTGTGCAAAAAAAAATTGTTAAAAAAAGGGAATGAATGAAGGGTAAAGATTCATAAAGTCCACCAAGCAATTAGGATGATGTTAAGGACGCATTGCTCTCGGGCAGAAGATATGTTGAAGAATATGATGATTTTGATGCAATTACAGAACCTAACAAGTTCCTTTTTCAATAAGTATTTTCTAGTCCTAATTATAGTAGGCAACAAAATCTGTAGCAAAACACAAGCCGAACACGAACAAGAATATTTAAATCGAGTCGAACACGAATTCACTATTCACCAGCCAATTACGAATGAGCCGAAAAGAAGCCAAGCCTAAGCTCGCTCAAGCTCAGTTCGGTTACAACCCAAGTAATTAATAGTGCGGCTTGTTAAATATTTCTTTTCTACAACGAACCGCTTGACTACTTTTAAAATATGGATTTGTTATTTTTTACAAGAAATGGTTTCAAGATGCCCAACTGCATGTGGTATCCGACATCCACAAGATAGTACTTCCCGTTGAATTACTAAATATTTATAATTAATATGTATGACAAACTATTTCAAGTACAATTAAAGAGTTCCTAGAGGTGGCATAGGAAAATCATATTGTCGAGAGCATGTTATAAATTTGAATATGCCACTGAATTATGTATTAATATCTAGATATATTTGCATGCCATAAAAAAAGTGGAGGATGGTTTATTAGTTATACACATGTAATTCCAACGTGTGGGAAAGGGTTAATCTTTATAGCATTATTACTTCAAAACAAAGGTGTTATTTCCCGGCCTAAATAAACTAACTAGTAGAAAAATAACGGTTAAATACTTGTTCATTGCTGACAAGTGTGTCATTTACAGAATTATAATCAAGTCTATATCACCCTTATTTGTTGAAAAATCATTCATCATCAACACATTCTCCTCAGCCTTATTCCAGCCTACTTGGAATTACTTTATCATCACCTATCAAATGAAATTCATATTTATTCGTAAATAAATGTGATATTTAACTCCTTGGAGTTCAACCAAACTGAGATGCAATTCTGTGGGTTGATAATATAAGAAATATAAATCCCATTTAATAAGCACAAAGCTTGTTTCTAGAGAAAATCTAAATATTGCATGAGTAAAATGTTGAACAAACTAGATTGCAGCTTTGCAGCATTATATTTTCAGTGCCAACGGGAAAGTTCTCAACTTCTCATATTTATAAAATCTCATTATTTTTCAACTGGCATAGATTGATTGGGGAAACAATTATTCTTAGTCATAATAATAAATAAAATAAAAACTTTAGACTCTGAATACAAACTGCACACAAGCAATG